TTGTTTAGTTTTAAAGATATCTACTATAGTGGATATTACATTGAAACGATACAAGAAAAAAATGTTGAATATTTTTGCGTAACTTCTTTTGTATCTAATCAGAAGCAGATAAAACAAAAAATTATGCACTTCCACCTGCCATGTATTATACATTTATAAACAATGGTCGAGTCAAATATTATCGCGAACCAGAAGTTCGTTGATCCAAAAAAATTTATACTTTGGCATGATCGACTTGGACATCCAGGAGCTATAATGATGTATCGAATAATAAACAACTCACATGGACATCATTTAAAGAATCAGAAGATTCTTTTACCTAATGATTTATCCATGTATAACTTGTTCGAAAGACAAGTTAGTTGTTAGACCTTCAGCTACAAAGGTCAATATTGAATCTTCAACTTTCTTGGAAAGAATTCATGGAGATATACGTGGGTCAATACACCCACCATGTGAACTTTTTTTTTATTTTTATGGTATTAATTGATTCTTCTACTAGATGATCACATGTTTGCATGCTTTTGCTACTTGCTGAAATCATAAAATTACGAGTGCATTATCCGATTACTCAATCAAGACTATTCGTCTTAGCAATGCTGATGAATTTAGATCACAAGTATTCGATGATCATTTTTATCAATTGGGACTGTTATTGCACATTCGGTTGCGCATGTTCATATACAAAATGGTTTAACAAAATCATTTATTAAACATCTATAACTTATTGTTAGACTATTACTTATGAAAACAAAACTCCAAACTTCTATTTGGGGCCATGCCATATTACATGCTGCTCATTGATTCGTATCAGACAAATTACATATTATTAATATTCACCTTTGCAACTGATATTTGGTTATGAACCTAATATTTCTCATCTGTGGATTTTTGGTTGTGATATTCAAGTTCATATTTTACCTCCACAATGTACTAAAATTGGTCCCCAGCGAACATTTAGGATTCTTGTGGGTTTTGATTCACCATCTATTAATAAATATCTTGAACCTTTAATGAGTGATTTATTTACTTTATGTTTTGCAGATTGTCATCTTGATGAAATGACTTTTCGAATTTTGGGAATGGAAAAATTACATTTTTATAAACAAGGTAAAATTTCTTGGAATTAATATATTCTATCTCATTTTGATCCCCACGACAATCAATGTGAGCAAGAGATTTAAAAAAATCATTCATTCGCAAAGAGTTGCAAATCAATTACCAGATGTATTTATTGATATAAGAAAAGTGACAAAGTCATATATACTGCCAGAAAATATTTCAATAAAAATTGATGTTCATGTACGACAATTTACTGTAACAAATGAATCTCATGTGCGCTAGAAACGTGGTCGATCAATTGGTTTAAAAGATTCTGTATCTCAAAAAAAAAAGTACAAGAGAAAAATCAATCAAAAATTTCGAAAGATATAACATTAGAAAAGATTGATCAATCAAATATTGAAAATATGACTCATAAAGAACCACAAGTGTCCGAAAATAATGAGATTTCAATAAATTATATGTTGTCATAAATATTTTCGTCTTTAAACTAGCTCTTAATATTATGAAAAATGAGAATCCTGAACCACAATCTGTTAAAGACCGATAATATAGAAATGATTTGTCAAAGTGGAAAGAATCCTACAGGTGAAATTGAATTCCTTAGAGAAACGGAAAATATTTGGACCTGTAATTCGAACATCTAAAAATGTAATCCCTGTTGGATATAAATGAATTTTTGTACGAAAGAGAAATGAAAATAATTAAATTATAAGATACAAAACCCAACTTGCAGCACATGGTTTCTCACAAAGGCCGGAAATTGATTATGAGGAAATATATTCTCCCGTAATGGATATCATTTCTTTTATCTTTTTAATTAGTTTGACTATGTTACAAGACTCAATATGTGTCTTATGAATGTAGTGACTTATATATGAAAGTATCTGAATAACATAATGTGCAAGAAACAAATGATACACGTCTGAGACCCACGTTCTCAATTAAATTGCAAAGATCATTATATGAATTGAAACAATCGGAAAGCATGTAGTATAATCGTTTTAACGAATATTTGTTGGAGGAATATTATAAATACGACGATATTTGTCCATATGTTTTCATAAAAAAAACAAATATTGAATTTGCAATTATGACAATTTATGTTGATAATTGGAACATCTGAAGAGCTCAACAAAACTACAAATTATTTAAAAAATAAATTTCATATGAAAGATTTGAGACAAATCAAATTTTATTTTGGGTTACAGATTGAACATTTTCGAGAAATATTATTTGTCCATCAATTTACATATACAGAAAAAGTCTTTAAAACGCTTTTATATGGATAATGCACATACATTGACATCACATATATTTTTCAATCATTTGATGTGAAAAAAGGATTATTTTTGTCCACTTGAAGATGGAGAAAAAGTTCTTTGTCTTGAAATATTATATCTTAATATAATTGAAGCATTAACTTATTTTGCAAACTGTACTCGACCCGACATAGTTTTTTCTGTAAATCTTCTTACAAGATATAACTATACACAAATACAAATACGTTGGAATAATGTTAAACATATTTTTTGTTACCTAAAGGGTACTATTGATTTGTGATTATTTTATTCTCAAAAGTAGGGATCTATTTTAATGTGTTATGCAAATGCAGGTTCTCTCTCTGACCCACATAAGCTAAATCACAAACAAGATACATAATTACACGTGGAGGAACAACTATATCGTAGAGATTTGTGAAGTAATCCTTGATAATAATATTCTCAAAATCATTTTGAAATTATTACATTTCATGAAGCAGGCAAAAAATGTGTACGGTTGAAGAATATGACACATTATATCCAAGCATCATGCTGATTAATTTCAACAAAAGACAGTCCAACAATTTTGTACGAAGATAATGCTACTTATATTGCACAACTCAAATGAGGTTATATCAAATGTGACAAGACGAAGTATATTTTTCCAAAATTATTTCATATACATAAAACCTCAAAAGAATGGGGACATCGATTTTCAACAAATTCGCTCAAGTGACAATGTGACTAATTTATTTACATAAGCACTGCCAATATTTACATGTAAGAATTTAGTTTACAATTGTCCCTGTTTGACATCCATTTTTTCTCATTCTCATTCTCATTTTTCTTTTCTTTCTTCATTTCATCCACACATTCTATCAATAAAATAATACTACACATAAACCCAAAAATTCTCATTACTTTTTAACCACACATTCTCCCATCAATCACTATTCCAGAATTTCTTTTTTGTCAAAAATGGGTGTCAAACGGGGGTAATGCGTTAGCTCAAAGATTTCTAGTGATCAACATTAGGGAGAGTAGCTGTACTCTTTTTTCTTCGCTTAAGTTTTATCCTACTAGATTTTCCTAGCAATGTTCTAATGAGGCATCATTTATCTTTAATACTTCAAAATAAATGTACTCTTTTTTCTTCGTTTGATTTTTTGTCTCATTGGATTTTTATTTAACAATGTTTTAATGAGACAAATATTTTCTAATACGTCATTCAAGGGGGAGTGTTTTAAATGGTAAATTTATTAGTGAATGACAACTATATTCCTATAACCTTAAAAATCATTACCATTGTATCCCTTATCATTTCCTATAAATATAGATTTTTGATTCTCATTTTAATACACACAAAGTCTATTAATTTTTATTTTGTCTTTTCACAACAGAAATTACATAATTACAAATGTTTTAAAATACATTTTCAAAAGTAACAAATTTGTGGATTAGAATTACATGTTTAATAGCAAATTGCACATTTTAATATGTTACAAATTATTTATTAATCACAAATTACTCAAATAACTGGCCACAATCACTCCTCGTCTCACATCACTCACCTTATTCAGACCAATACATAGAGCTAAAATTATAGTTAAAGTCGCCAATATAAAATCGAAATAACTAGTTAGTAAACATGAAAGAGCTAAATCAAATATGTTATGTTTATACATAGTTTAAAAAGCATTTACCTAAATTTTTATTTTTTTAAAATAGAAGGATACTCAAAAATACACACACTCCACCAATGACATCACCACTCAAATAGTTGCCTCCACCTCAAATCCACAACCGCCACAATTTCAAGCACACAACCCCCACCACTTCACCCCAACCCCAACCCCACTCCACCACCATTTATACCACCCCAATCATCTTCGCCACCTCAAATCCACAACTCACCACCACCACCTATTTTTGAAAAAAAATAAAATAAAATTATTACTACCTGATTTTTGAACTTGAAATGCAGGAATCAAAGTAATTTTCTCATAAAATAAAGGGAGGATAAAGGTGAGAGAGAGATGATCTTATGCAATTGCTTGCAAATTCCCGAAAATTCCAATGGAAAACAACGGTATATACATATTCTTTGTTACAATTTAATACTTGAAAACCATAAACTTCTAAATATTTGAGATTATCCGTATTTATGTAATTGGTTTAAGTTAACCAAATTACTAATATGGAGTAGTGTTTCTTTTTATTTTAAAAAGGCTCTCACAAATCCAGAAAATTTAGATCCAGTAAATATTATGTTTCACAGCTCACGCAGTTCTACCACAATTGAGGAATTCCTCTGCCTGTATGGTTTTGTTCTCTTCTGGTTACACAGATGAGACAAATTCATTTATTTTAAGTCTGTCTTAAAACACCATCAATCTAGCCTCCACCTGGAATTCTCAATCAAATAGTCAACTTTACAATGTAGCTAAACACTGTTAACAAGAATTAGACATAGAGACATTAATATTTTTTTCTTCATTTATGATCAAATCAACTAGAATGAAATCTCTGAATGCACTCCACACAAACAGTTGAATGATTTATTTTTCATCGAAGATTATTGAAATATGCAAAAAGGAAACGAGGGATTTCCTTAATGCAAAATCTCTGCTACGTAAATTAATAATAACTACATAAAAGTATAAAAGCATTTGCAAATTAAGCCTCCAGGTACCCTTTTCTTTCCAAGTATGAAATCACTATTTCGGCCAAATTTGTTGGAGAATCACACACCCCTCCTTGTTGATGTAAAACTATCTGCACGATATAATTCTGAAATTAAACACTTTATTCTTCAGCAATCTGTCAAGGTCGAGAGAAAACAAATTTTGGGAAGGCATTTATCGTCTAAACAGATGGTTAGAAAGCTTTGCCATTATTCGTTTGACAACTATCAAATAAAACAATGTTGTTATCACAAGCCAACTAACAAGATACAAGATGAAAGATGCCAATCTTTATAGTCTTAAATCATTTGTTGGATGTTGAGAAGACAATCTATTTTAAGGATGGGTATATGTTTGAATGGATTCAGCGAGAGAAAAGACCTTCTTTTGCCTGATGGGAGTACATACCTCAGAATTCAATGGCGGCTCATATGGATCATCGACACCTGTAAAACCTGGAAAAAGAGCAATATAAATTGAATTGTTTAAATGGAAAATAAATGCCAGAGAAGATCGAAGCTGGAAGGGAGTCCAAGGACAGAATTCATGAATATGTCAATAGCTAGGCAATGGTACATTTAACATGGGAGCGTGTACAATTACAGGAGAGATGTTCAGTGCCGATTCTTATAGTACTGTTACCAGCAGCTGCATCATTCTTCTTCACAGTGAAAATGAAGCAACAAGAATCTTTGCACATTTGATTTCCTAATACTAGTATCTGATGGTGAAAAGTGTCAGATCAGAAATTGTAGTCAAGAATTTCCTGACAACAAAAAGATGAACAAAATATATAGAAACTAACACACTTAAATGATCATAAATATAAACCCCAGAACCTCCAATTTCACGCAGCTCCTGCTCAGTGCCGTCATGCAGCTTATGTGTGAAATTCTGAGTACACATGGTTGATTGACAAGAAATTGATGGGTTGATGTCCAACAAATTAGGACTGGTCATGACATTTGGAGTCTGAAGCCTAATTAGATGCACTCAAACACATGCATAGGCACACCAATAGAAGTAAAAGAAGAAAAAGAAGCACAGCAGATGCATGAAATAAATCCTTGCAAAAGGATATACTGGCCTGCAGATGGTTTCCTGGGAAATTTTTAGCAATCTACATTTTAAATCCTCAGCAAAAATAGGATTTCAAACTCTCACACAGTCATCTGTTTTATTATTGAACTTACCTTTAATTTTTCCAGCTCGTGCAAGCTTGTACAATCCCTTTGGATCCCTCGTCTCGCACACTTGCAGAGGCACATCCATAAATACCTGATATTCGGGAAACTCCCAATCAACCATTTGCAATCCATACGAGTTTTCCACTTCAAGAGTTTGGATTGTAAATATACCAATATCTAAGAAAATTAAAATCTTACATGTAAAAATTCCAAAAGAAGAATACTACCTCAATAAAATCTCCTTCTGGAAGTAATGCACGACAGGCATCACGCTCCTTTCTGTAAGGTGATATCAAACTTGCTATACAAATAACTCCAGAGTCTGCAAATAGCTTTGCCACCTCTCCTGTTTATAATAAAACGCAATTCCTAAACTGGTTAACCTGAATGAGTCGGATTCTTTAGAAAGAAGATTCAAATCGAGAACCAGGCCGGAAAAACCAACCTATCCTTCTGATGTTCTCTGCTCGATCTTCAGCATTAAAACAAAGGTCACTATTTAGGCCATGCCGAACATTATCACCATCAAGTATGTAGGCGAGCTTTCCTCTAGCGTGAAGGCCACGGCTTAAAGCACATGCCAAAGTGCTCTTTCCTGAAATACACCACCACCTCCGTCAGACAAAAGGAAGTCATGAAATCAACAGTAAAAAAGCCGTATAGTGTTACTGTTACACCTAAAAAAAAGGGAAAATGAACCCAAAAAATTTAAAACGCTATAAAATAAGCTATTTTGCTAATAATTTGTCATTCCAATAAGTTTTTGCAATGGTATAACAAATAACATTCCCATCAATTATATCTAAAGTCAAAAGCTAATTATACATATATATTACTTGGATTTTTCAGGCTGGGTCATTCTTTAGAATTTTAAATTTCAAGTCCAGGTATAAAAATAACTGATGCGGAATATGATCATTCTTCCAGAGAAACAAATTGATGAGAATTCATCAATGGACAAATTGGTGAGAATTCGCCAATGGATAAATTGATGAGATTTAAGCGGTGCATCATACTTCCATAGAAATAAATCATTTATAGTAAAGAACTGTCAGAACTTGAGAACAATGTCTTTGTTCCCCTTTTTCAAAGTTTCATTTCTTCATTGAAAAGGCATTGAAACAATATAATGTTACTCCATGATTTCCTACTGTAAACACAGAATCCATTTACAAAGACACGGGTTACTTTCGTTTGACCAGCATCCTAGACCTGAAAATTTTTGTAGTAAAATTCTGTCTTACAGAGATGCATAACTTTCAGGTTCTATAAATAATCCAACTTCACAAGCAAATGACCGCACTGGAATCATAACTGTAGGACACTTGACAGGATCATCTCTGTATGACACACAAACATGTGAAAGCTTCTTTAAAATTTTCGAAAAGTTCCCTCTTCTTTGTAGAAAATGTAACTGTCCTCTTTGTTTGCACAACAACAAAAACTACGCATTGCTTCCAATAAAATTAAGGACAGGGCGTGACAGGGTGTTTAGAGCTCCAGTCAACTAAAGAAAGAGTCAAATATCTCACAGCATCCATACAAGATCAAATAGAGTGACTATTTCCAGGATTTTCATTTTTGAGAGTTCATATGATACTCTAAAGAAGCAACAAAGAATGAAATGCAGCACTTTATTATTATTATTTTTTAATGAAACCTTCGTATCGTCATATAAATGATGCTATGCAAATAGATAGAATTGAGCACATATGTTAAATACTGACATTTTGAGTTGAAATTTCCTAAAACTTCAAATAATAGTTCTTGCAAAGAATTCATATACAATATACAAGCTGCCTTCAGCAATGGTGTCGCGGAAATCTTCGAGAAATCTTTGATATCGGGCTCGGAAAATCAACCAAGCGAACACCAATCAACCGGCTTGATCCAACAACCCTTAACACCTTTGGTTGCCTCAGTTTTACCCCCACAAAGGAGACACTTGGTGGTGGTATTTGCAAGCTACAAATGGAGAAAAGGAGTAGAAGAAAACCATGGTTGAATCTCTCAAATCCACCCCAAAACCGACTGCCCTCTCATTCCTCTCTTGGCTGCCTCTCTCAATCTCTTCTCTCCACACTCTTGCACAATACACACCCGAAATGCAGCACTTTAGGTAATGCAGATAAACATAATCAATAGAACCCAGAAAAATGGTCCGAGTACAAGCTGTAGGTGTAGAAGTATATCACTCATGGTTTTTCCAATTCTCAGAATTTTATCAATAACATATGAAGGATGAACTGGATATCCTTGTTTCTCAATTATTCTAATCTACATACAATTATCTAAAACTACGAAGCCTTTAGATAGACGTTGATAGTTTGAAACATATCACTAACATCACTTACAGCTTAACTCCTTACAAAATTGCTGGCTTCTGAACTGGGATTAGTAGAAAATATGGAAATAACAGAATAATGACCTCAGGAAAGATTAACAGCAGTGCATGAGAAGTGCAGCCAATATATTTGATAAAATTCAGGACAGAAGGAAGGCCCGAATAACAATTGATATATGTAGCTAAATCTAATGCAAATCAACAATTTGTAAAACAAACCTGAACCACTGAGTCCGGTAATCCAAATGACACAACCCTTTTGTCCAAGCAGCTGTTGTCTGTCACTCTTCTCCACAGCACACTTGTGCCAAACAATATTAGTCGAATTTCCAATTGTAGACATCTGGGGCATACTTTTACCTGTTAAAATCAATTTTCCAGCATTCATAAAAAACTTCTGCTCCTATATAAAATGGGAGGAAAAAAATAAATCAAGTTTTTTAATTTTGTACCGGAACAATCATCACGTTCATTTGTAAGCACATCATCGCCGAAATTGCATCCCGATTGCTGCGTCTCCAGGAAACTGCCCGCATTACCATTGATGGGCGACGTCGTTTTGGAAGACTCCATTGCCTTAATTGGCGCCAAAATGCTCCGTTTTACCTCAATACCGCAAACCCCCAAATTTTTTCTTTCACAATTCAACGCTGATTTGCCATATAATGGCTCAGAAAAATCAAAATCCACCGGGGTACACAAATTCAACTGTAGACATGGAATCCCTGTCATTTTCGATGTATCAAATCATTAATAATAATAATAATAAGTCAACTCTCTAACCAAGCACATGAATTTTTATTAGAAAAAAAGAATACAAATAATGGGATATTTATTCAGGAAGACGATGAACGAAAGCAAAAAATAACTGACGATGGCAAGATTCGTATGAGGTTCTTAATAACCATTTCTGCAATAAAATCGATTCTAATAAGATTCATATGAGGTTCTCAATAACCATTTCTGCAATAAATTCGATTATTATAATAAGTTAATCATAACAACAAGACATGCCAAGTGGTGTTATTATCAATAACCTGACAACAGGTAGATAGACGTAGTGCGAGACACTTGGGATCCCACTCTCTGATCCTCCCCACCAGGAATCTGTACTGCAAAGAAAGATGACAAGATGATGATAATCAGACTCAGTGAATTGATTAAATATTGCGGTTCTTGCTGGCAAGTTGACGATGGGTGGCTGTGAGATTGTGAAGTGTAGATATTTGATTTGTCGTTGGTTTTTGATTGGGATAGGATCACTAGTTTGTGTCAAATATGGACATGGGAACTCATTTGTCCCATTCAATAATACCATGATATTTAGCCCGATATCAAAATTAGATTTTTAACAGATTTTAATAAAATTTGATAAAATATATGACTAAAAGGTTGTGTTCAATGAAATATGTTATTAAAATTAATTGTTTTTTTTGTTTTGAAGGAAACATCAAAATTTCATTAATCATTCAAATGCGCAACATCGTAGTTTACCAGATTCACAATGGATTCTGGTACATCTTCACAACACATAAAATCAGTCCTAGAAAGTTTTGCCAGAAGTGCTAGTCCATGAGCCACCTGATTAGTTCGTCTTGGAGCGTGTCGGACCAGGCAGTTCCCCATCCGAGCTAAAAGGATTCTGCAGTCCTCAGCTATATTGAGCACAGGGGAGAACGGAAAATGAAGGTTGATGGTTTGGACCGAAAGCAAGGAGTCCGTTTCTGCAATGTTGACACCCAACCCACTCTCTACTGCAAACTCCAGTCCCTCTCTGATGGCTAGCATTTCCGCTGTGAGTGGGGAGTAGTTTCCATTTATGACTTTGCCCATCGATCCCATAACCTCCCCACGATGGTTCCGGATTACGGCTCCAATGGATATCACCCCTTCCTCAATGTTCACTGCTGCATCAGTGTTGAGAATCAGTTCATCCGTCGGTGGGGACTTCCAGAACCTTCTGCGAGATACTCCAAACTGGTTTGTCATTTCCGAACTTGGCACCTTAAGAGATAGCTGTATTGCCTGAAACTCTTCCAGATATTCTTCCA